GACCAGACAGTAAATAGAGATGTCCTCCTCCTGTTTCTGTACTGTTTTTGCATGCTTATATCATAAAACTTTAGCCTGTCACCTTTGTAAAGCCCAACATTTCTGCTGGATCATATATCCTGTTTCCTGTTTTGATGCTAACCCCATGTTGCTCTCCGAAGCATTCAGAGTGTGAATGCGTATGAATGTTAGACAGTAAGCACTAAACAGTTTTAAAAAAGTGCTTGTGTGAATGGGGTGTGATTGTCACGGTTCTGGGTCAGTTTGACCCAGTAATTTGAGTTCTCTTGTTTTGGTTTGATTTTGTATTTTGTATTGTATTCTGATTCTTGTGCTTTGTTGATCAACAATAGAACTCTAGATCTCTATACAGTCCATTCTCTTTTGAGTCGTTCCAACACAGTGTGTTTGTTTTGATTCGTAGACCCCGAAAATGGTGCCACGCTGCCACAATGCATTGCGACATGACGCCAACTTCAAGGCTCTATACTGGTGACTTGATTGGAATCAGGTGTGAAAGCTGATTGGAGTCTCTGCCTGAAGGTGGAGCCCAGCAGAGTGGAAAAACCCCGCACTCACCCGGACCATGACACACGCCTCATTCACACAAGCTTTTTTCCCTCTGCTTTATTGATTTCTATCAAACATTCATAACTAGTATCAAGAATCTTTTGTATGCAGACTGGAGAAGCGAGGGATCAAACTACCAACATTCTGATTAGCAGATGTAAATTAGTAGGTTAGTGCACCCGAGTGGTAGAAGAAATCCTAACTCAATGTTCTTTACAAGAGTGAAGGAAAACGAAAGCATTGATACTGTAAATAAGTGTAGATACAAATCATCTACTGTTATGAAAACTGTAAAGAAGATCAGTGAAGGGATTTCAGAACCACTAACATACATTTCAGGATTATTCAGAACGGTACTTCCAAACTAAATGAAAATAGTTAAAGTTCTGCTGCTGCATAAAACTGAGGATAGCCACCACTTCACAAATTATAGGCCCGTTTCTCAATTTCCAGAGTTCTCCAGAAATCTCAAAAATTTGTTCAATAATTGATGACACAGACATAAATTACTCTCTTAGAGTCAGTAGTTTCAGATCAAACAGTTCGGCATGATTGGCATTAATTACATCGATCGAAGGATTTAGAAACGCAATAGATCAGAAAAAGAATACAGTTAGAATATTCTTAGATTTTAAAAACCTGTACAGATATCCTGTAAACTACAATGTCATTTATGCCCATGATGATGAGTGGATGTAAGCTTTTTATCACACCTGTACATTTAGACCAGGGGTCTCAAATTCGCGGCCCGGGGGCCACTCGTGGCCCATGTCACCCCTACTTGCGGCCTGTATATTGATGTGAGGAAATATATTGCAATTTGGCCCTTAAAGTTACTTTTTTTGTTAGGGAGTATTTGTTTGTTGTTGAGTACAATGTCAAAATAAGTTTTTATAGATCTTAGAGATCCAAAAATTATTTAATATTAAGGCAATATGAGCAGAGAGACGGATTTGGCTGTGTTATTTCAGTGAGACAGTTATTTGTACTCGCAGTCAAAAACGAATGTGTGCACTTATGTCTGCATTTTTATTTTGTTAAAAATGAACAAAATTATAGCACAAGTGCTGCCATGTGTCTGTCCAGAAAGAGAGTACCAATGTGTTTATTTGGTAGTTCAATGAAAAGTTTCAGTTAAGAGTGAGAGAAAAAATTGCGTTCACTTTTGCAGTTTTGTCTTGTTATACAACATTTAACAAACAAAACACTACATTTTTGAAAATATTTGTGGGTGTTTTCTTGCTGTTTGTTTGTTTGTTTTTTGTACTACTTAAACTAAAGTGGCCCTCCAGTGAGATGACAACGCCAGCAGTGACCTAAAAAAGATAAGTCCAACTTCTTTCAAACAACCAATGTCTCATGATAGTGATGTAAAAAATAAAATATAATTCAGACTGAGGCAAGTTTATCCAAACAGTCAAAACATCAATTTTTACACTTCTATAAAAAATCAGAAATGAAAGAAAAAGAAAAACTTGTGTG